GAACCCGCTGTGGTCATTATGAATTTTTAGTTTTACCATTCGGGCTCACAAATACACCTGCAGTATTTATGGATCTTATGAACAGGGTATTTAAACCTTTCTTAGATTGATTTGTTGTGGTATTTATTGACGATATTCTGATATATTCAAGAAACAATGAAGAACATGAAAAACACTTGAGACAGGTGCTGCACACATTAAAGAGAGAACAATTGTACGCGAAAACTTAAGAAATATGAATTCTGGTTTGAGTAAGTAGCATTTCTTGGGCATGTAATCTCTAAAGAAGGATTTATGTGAGGAATGCCTCCAAATAGGGAGATTGAATTTTCAATTGACTTAATACCCGATACAAGTCTAATTTCTAAGGCTTCCTATCGCATGGCACCAACTGAATTGAGAGAGCTCAATGTGCAATTGTAAGAACTTTTAGATAAAGGCTTTATTCGACCTAGTGTGTCTCCCTAGGGTGCGCTAGTATTAATTATGAAGAAGAAAGACAGTAATATGGTATCAGAACAGTTACCAGATGAAAGTGTGGAGCTAAGTATTGCACCGTATGGATACGGTGAGAACCACCTCTAGAGCCTGTAGAAGCCATCTCTAGAGTCCACATCGCCTGGCAATGACATTAGGATATGCCAATTATCATGTTTTGACGACGAGAATATCGTCGTTGTAAGGTGGGACGATTGTGACACCCACACTTTAATCCCACATGGACTAGTGTGAAGAAATATTAGTAATTTAAATAGAGAAAAACCCAAGGTCCAAGAACAACTAGTGCTAACATTTTGATAATAGATTTTAGCCAACATCGAGTTGTTCTCGGTAGGTGTCACGGCTTGCATGCGCTAACAGGCCCGTAGGCCCGGGGCGTGACAAGAAGAGAGTTCACAGAGTCATGAGAGCAAATGAGAGGTTGAAGGTGATGATGTGGCTAAGTGTGTTTGAGAGCTTTTCGAGAAATTGTCCGGACGAGGGCTACTAGGGGATGAGGCATTAGTTTTTTTCCGAGTGTCTTTTATTCTTTTTTTTTTTTTGAGATGTGTGTCGGGGGCCGAGGGGTAGCTCAAGGGGCTAGAGGTTATTTCGCTATAATCTATTATCCTTCTCTGTGTTATACATTTTTTATGCACTAGGTAGAATGCACGTGCAATGCACGTGGTCAAATATTATAATTGTTGATTTTTAGTTTATGAATTTACTATAACATAGTTGCAAAAAAGTTTATGATTATCATAATATATTAAAAAGTTTCAGATATTTTAATATATAAAATCTTGTTGGTTTCAACACTTTACCTTACACATAATTAGTGAGGTTTAAAGTCTTAAAATTTTAATGTTCTAAGAGCAATTTAATGATTTGGAATTATAATTATAAAATATTAATGACGTAAGCACCAATATCTAAAAAACTATTATTATTAATAAAAAATAAATCTTGAATTCATCAACGTAAAATGATAGGTTTATCTGATCATAGAGGATTTTGTTTAATTATAAAGAAATCACTCACACCTATTGTCTACTTCCACTTTCTATTATCTAGCGACCGAGTATTATAGATATTCAAAAACTTTTCTATAGAAATTTTAAAGTTATAATGTGCAAATTCAATCAAGAAAGAAAATATAAATTATGTGATCAATTCCAAAATCTAATATTATAATATTCCTACATCTTCTCAACTGTTTAATTAATTTGTCAAAATGATTACTCTCTAATTTTAGAAAACTATAAAATATAATTTGAGAATGATTTAAACATATTTTGTACACATATGGATTGTATTTTAATAAAATAATATAGATCTATCCAATATTGAATAATATCCAAAAATTTAAGCTAAATAGTTAAAAGAATATAATAACACTCATATCCAAACTGTATGCTTTATAAAGGTGAGACATATAAAATGAACAACTTAATTTATTTTGTTAAATAATTTATTACAAATCATAAAAAATAAGGAGAACCATAAGGATCACATAGTCATCCCAAATAAAGATTAAATTTCTCTCTGCAAATTTTATAGTCAAATATTTTCAGATATACTGATAAACTTGCTATAAAATCCACTCTTCTAAGATTGATATCACATGTGTCTTAAATTGTGCTTTGTTTAAGGGTTAATTTTAGAAAACTTCCCCTCAACTATGGGGGAAATGTTAACCCCCCCCTCCCCCCCCCCTCAACTACTTGAAATGAGTAAATATTTGTTCGTCAAATTTGGGGTGTTATAGTTAATCTATCTCAACTTTAAAATTTTGATTTAACCCTATAAAATTTTCTCAATTAACCCCTCAAAACTAATATCATTGAGTCGAATTCATTATGTGATAAGTACTTGACTTGGAAAGACCAAAATATCCCTCAACCATAAAAGAATTAGCTTGATTTTTTGCTAGATGAAAGAAAAAGTGAAGATTTAGAGGTAAAATGATTTGTAAATTGGTCGTAATCCTTTTATTAATAGTTGAGAGTTTCTTTTAACTAAAATGGCTTTCTTTAATAGGGTATTTTGACAAAATCTCTTATTAAAGTCTTTTACATTAAGGGGGTTTGTTAAGAGACGTGTAAAAGACCAGAAGAGTTTTTATAAGACAAGCTAAGTCGAAGGGTGTTTTCTAAAATCGCATCAAAGTTGAGAGTGGTTATCTACAACACCTCTATAGTTAGGAGGCTCTGTCAAATTAAATTAATTAGTTGAGTGGTTTTTTTGAAACATTCCCCATACTTTAGAGAGTTTTCAAAGAATTAACTATTCTTTTAAATTTAGCTCAAATATTTTATAATTCTATATTAGTACCTAAATTATAAGCAATTTTAAAATTTTAAGGGAATAATATAGAATTATTGGAGATTTAAAATCAATGAAATGATATCTAAATTACCTTTAAATATTGCTCTTATAGGCAATATGTGAAAAACTGACCATTATATCACTCTATCGACTGATATCAAAGGTTAAACACTTTATCTTAATAATATTTATGGTTTTATATTATTATTTTTTGAGGATTTTTCTCATATATTGATCATTATCGAAAATATTGGATGATATAACAAAATCGAGTCATTTTTAATTTGATTGTGGGCTTGGCATTAGGTCGTGTTTGGAAACCAAAACTAAAACACAAGTCACAAAAGCCACAATTCATATCCCAAATCTCTCCACTCCCAGGTCTCCCAAATCTCAAGCATATATCTTGACACAAATTCTTATGTTGAAAATTCATCAATATCTGAGATTATAGATTAAAATATTATATTATGTATGAGCAGTATCTCATATAACACCCATATATTTTTTACTTAACCCCGATTATTGCAATCCAATATCATGGATTTTATTTGTCCATTATTTATATGATGACCAACACTTTGTAGTAGTCATTCGAAATCCTCTTCTTTTCTAAGTAAAGTATATAAATTTAGAAATAATTCAAAATCTTAAGATTATTCAAAATATAATGTTGTAATTTTTTCATATTTCCTCTAGTATATAAATATAAGCTAACCCTCTGGCCTCATATTATATGATGAATATTATTTATCAAAGGGATCACATACTACTACTTTTGGTTAACAAAGGCTTTAAATCTTTATTGGCTTAATTAAATTAAATATCTTTCAATTTATAAAAGTTTCAATTACATACATCCACTTGTATCTTTCTGCACTTAAATATCCTAATTTTTTAAAATTACATGTCTGTACCTTCTATACGCAAAAATACATTTATAATTTTCCTATATGAATATAATGATAATTTTAGGATAATTCTTTATTTTCTACTCTTTCCATTAATAATTTATTAACATGTAATTGTCTATTAATATATTATTAGACATTACTAATAATTAATATGAGAGTTTTACAATAACATTGGAAGTTTTAGAGGCCAAGACAAACTTGAAGTGGCATATAATATGATTAATTAACAATAATAATTAATTTAGTTTAGTTAGGATTAAAATATAATATTTAAAAAATAGGGGTAATATAGTCCATAGAAAGTTTTTTCTACAACTTCCTCTTTTAAAGGGAGTATGATTCTAAGCAAAGTATATAATTTTATTTATAATTCAAAATCTTGAGAATTATTCAAAATATGATGCTTAAAATTTTCCACATCTTCTGTACTATATAAATATAAGCTAAACCTCTTACCTCATATTATATGATGTATATTATTTATCAAAGGGATCACATACTATTGCTTGTGTTTAACAAAGGATTCAAATCTTTATAGGCTTAATTAAACATAAATAGCTTACAACTTACGGAAGTTACACTCATATACCTCTCCACTTATATCTTAATGCACTTAGATATCCTAATATTTTCTAAAATTGCATGTTTTTACTTATGTACTCAAGAATACTCTTTATACTTTTCCTATGTGAGTGCCACTATATAATTTTAGGACAATTCTATATTTTATATTCATTCCAAAATAATTTATTAACTTGCAATTGTCTATCAATATAGTATTATGTATTATTAATAATTAATATGAGAGTTTTATAATAACATTGAAAGTTTTAGGGTCAAGTTAGACAAAATTGAAGTGAAAAGTAATATGTTTAATTAATAGTGATAATTAATTTAGTTAATTTATGATTAGAATATAATATCAAAAAAGAATAGGGGTAATATAGTCCATGAAAAGTTATTCCACAACTCCCTCTTTTAAAGGGAGTATATGATGTATCTCCTGTGTTTGACATGACACCAATATGAACAAAAAGTTCAAATTTATGAATAATGTTTTACATGTAAAAAGGTAGCTCAATAAAAATCAAGAAGGTTAAGAGTTCACTTCAAGCTAAGGTAGCACAATGATATTTCTCGTTTGTGATCTTAATGACTAAACCTTTTCGAAATCATGATTTGTCAGTTTTATCATGCTAGCATGTAGATTATCATACATTCCAAACTTTTGAAGAGAAAAAAAAAATGCAAACGGGAAAAAGGACAAGGCCTACTAACCTGTGAAGAGGCATTTGTGTTCTCTTTGACTGCGTTCCGACGAACATCTAAAGCACGTGTATAATAAAATTTAGCAGATTGAAGGTCTCCGTCATAGTACTTAAGATCTCCAATTTTATTTAGTGAAACAGACAGTGTATGCACCACCTGGTAAATTCATAATGGCAAAGCAATCTTCTCTTAGTTGATGCTTTCAAATTTATAAAGAAGTTATGAGCAAGGAACTAAAACTTAAAGAATAACCTCCAGATCTTTTGGAGGCAACTTGGAGAGAAAATCTGCGCTCTCTTTGTAGTATGTAATTGCGGAACCAGAATTTCCCAATGTTCGACTGCAATTCCAGAATTCCAACACATTATCAGCAATGACAAACACCATTCAAGAATTTGCACAGTCTAATTCTTGCACAAACGCACGCAGACACATGCATAGACACCAACATATCTCCACAAACATGCATGCACATCTGCACAAGCATGCATATTCAGGTGGAATAAAATTTCTAAATTCAATTTGTCATGAACCTGATATTGACAAACATAAACTACTATTACACACACTGATACAGATATGGACAGAACACACCCATGCACAACAAATCCTAATAAAGATACACAACATGCATGCACAAAACAATACAGTTTCATAATAGAAGTGATGTGCTACATATTGTTTATCATGCCTGAACGTAACATGTGTTATTTATCCAACACATATTGAGCAAGTATGTGTGCCCTATTTTAACTACTAACATGTTTGCACATCATAGAATTTGAATCATATGGTCTAATAAATAAGCTTCATATTCTAAGTAGCAATACAGTTTTAAATAATACATTGCGGTATTAATAAGCCATAGATGCAATTTTCATTGGATAAGAAACAAGCTTTTCATCATGATTCCAGAAACAAAAACGTATAGAATTTGCACGGAGTCTGAGCTATATCTAAGACTAGTACTTAAGCATATTTTATACATGCTTCTTATCTTTCAACAAATTGTTAAGATTTTAAGAGCTCCTGATTGGATAGGATTAGTGTGTTTCTGCTAAAATGAAAGCCATGGATCAGAATAAAGCACATAAAATAACAGACATTTTGTAAAAGGTAGCTGTGAAATTTACAGCCAGCAATGTGCTTGTACAATGAGGAAGCACATTAAGGGCTTCAATCCTAGTATGAGCTTGAGAATGAAGAAGCACATTAATGCTAATGGGATTCGGTCCTAGTGACACCTGGAGGGTTTTCTAAGTGGGACTTGACTGTACTCGTTAGAACGTAATATATGCAATTCAAGTATCAAAGATACCTCCTGCACTCAGCATATGTATTGGATTTTGGAAAAGCATAGGGGTGTCCAAATATGCTTAAATTAGTCAAGAAAAGCAAGAAAGGAGCTGACGGCCAACAAGGGAGGACGTAAAAAAAAGTAAAGATACGGACGGGTAAACGACACATATGTAGTGTTTCTTTTTCCCTTTGAAAATTTATCATGAATGGATGATGATTGAAGACCAAACATCCTCTAAAACAAAGTGATGGACAATTATTTTAGGGTAAATTTCAGACCCCCAAAACTAAGTGATGGACAATTAATTCAACCTACCAAAAGCAAGGAGGAATGGAGAAGATGAGCTCTACAGAAAACAAGAAAAGAACTGAATTGGGCAGATAATAAGGTCTTCCAATTGCAAGAGACACTGGAGTTC